CGCTCTTGATTGCTGCGGTAGTTGCAGTCTTCTGAGTCAGTGTCACCTATGTCTATTTCTTGGGCTTTTTGTCACTTTTCTTGGGGCCTTTGAGGTCAGCCCATTTCAAAGCTATGAAGTGTAAGCCCACGTGGTTGCTGTGGGCAATCGTGTACTTCTCGGACGTGGTGACTATGCCTTTGTCGCCCACGTTGACTTGGGCTTTTTCGTTGCCACCAGCTCGAAAGGCGATGTGCTCATAGGCTCCTCTATACATTGCGCCCACGGTGACGTCCTGTTGGCCTTTGCCCTTTTTCTCCATGGAATCAAGGAGGGCCGTTTCCGTCCAGGTCGGAATTGTTTTGTCCGCATTGGAGATTTCTCTGCCAAGATAAAATGCCCCAAAGGTGGGTAAGTGGCACTTTTGTGGATTCTTATGGTAAGACCAGTTGGCCGGTCTGATCTTACCTTATCAGTTGAGCGGTTTTGATGGTTGTTCCGTGACAGAGTGCACAGGTGTGATTATGTTGTTTGTCAAAAGGAGGTGGCATCGAGAATCGACTGATTGCTGGCAGTGGCATGATGAGTGCAAGCACGTTTGTATGAGGAAGTTCACGGACGTAGCAAGTGGAGAGGTCGTAGTCCGGAAGGAGGTTGGTGCTGAAGAACAGTTGGACAGCCTTCTCAAGTACATCACCTGGAATTCTGGGATCGACCTGATGGAGCTGTTCCTTCGCAGCATCGTATTCATCTTGTGGAATGGAGGTGGTCGTCTCAGGACGTTCTTCAGCCTTGAGCTCATTGGCAGCTCGCATCCTGTCTGGATGATTCAAAGCATGCTCGATATGACGAGCCCATTCCTCTCTCGAACCATCTTGAAGATTGATGGGAACATGTCCTGGAGGGACGGCACTGGTGGAGACACGAGATTGGATTGAGCCTGATCTGTGTGGAGGTTGATGTGAACGGTCGGAGGAGAATGCAGTGAGTGGTTTGGTGGAAGACTTGTAGGAAGATTCATAGTGACTGTGGTGTTTGGAAGAGGCTTTGGGATAGTCAATCCAACCCGATGGATGGGTTCGATACTGAGATTTTGGATAGTCCTTCCATTGGTTCCAGGATTTCCACTTGTTGGTCCTTGTTGGTGGAAGGCTGGCCAAAGGATTGGTATTCATACTGGTAGTACTCGTTGTGGGATGATGGATCTTGATGATAGCGTTGATGTTCCCACGATGCAGGGTGAAGTGTAGCTGGTTCATGGCTGGGTGCATCACGGTTTAGATCATCATTGTCTGGTAGTACTTCTCGTCGACGTGGAGAAGCTGAACGCAAAGTGACAGAGGTAGCTCTACTTGGACGTCTTGATGGATCCCTCGAAGTAGAATGTCGTCTCCTGTGTGACGACCTTGGTCGAGAGGAACGATGTGTTCGTCTCGGTGGTGTGGCTCGACGAGGACTTCGTGGAACAGAGACTGGACGTTTGTCCGGTGCCCCACGGTGCCGGTGGGAGCGAGAGCGAGAGCGACGGTGAGTATGTTGTGGTGGTGGTGGAACTTCATCAGGTGGAGGAGGATGACTTGGAATAGGTGGAGAGGCTTGAATTGGTGGTTGAGCGGGAGCTGGAGGTTGGTTCATGTTGCGCTCTTGGTTCTTGTCCACAAACGCTTGCATGCTGGACTCAACCGTGTTCTTCATCTGTTGCATCATCTCTTCTGCATTGAAGGATACACTGGATCCCGGTGGTGTGGACTGAGGTGCCACCGGTGTTGGTGGTTCAGGCACTGAAGTTGTGGGCTGAGGTGGATGTGGATTGAACGTGGATTGGTGGAATGGAAGAAGCTGTTGAAGGTGCTGGATATGTGACTGAGCCTGTGACGCAAGTTGTTGATTCAGGATGGTATTTTGCTCTCTGAGAGCCGCCAGTTGTGCCTGAGTCTGAGCTTGAGACTGAGCCTGTGACTGTTGGTTCATTAGATCACCGCCACAAAATTGACCTTGAAGTCCCATCGCTTGTGGGTTCCAGAAGGTCCACATGTTGTCGGGAACGGCAGGATACCGTCCAGGAAACATGGCAGCACTGTCAGGTTTTTGAACAGCAGAATTAGTTCAAAAAGAAAAGATGCATCCACATGAACGTGCAGAAATCCCCTCATTAGGCTCAACGGCCTGCGTTCACGTCAACCCTATCGACGGCTATCAGTGTTCAAATGAATTACGTGCACAGTTGAACCTCACCGAGAAACCAAAAAGAAGTGACCACACCTGTAAAGCATGTCCTGAAGCCTCCCTGGTTCCATGTCATGTTGCAAACTGTCGAGCTCAGTACTCTCTTGGGCAAAGTTGGACAAGGGAGTTGTTGTCGTGGCTTCCAGCTATGCATATCGGTAGAAAAGAAAGGCGGTGCCAGGCACAGCAGCCAGCAGTTTCAACAATCACTCGACCGACGTGTGAAACAATGAAAAAATGGCCAGCAGTTCACTCTACTTAGACGAATTACTAATTCAAAAGTGTAAATTCAGACATCGTTTTACCGTCAATTTTTAGCCTAGAAAGGCTTTCCCCGAAGGGCTCATACCACCTTGTCGGACAACGGTATGAGTGACACACTTGCTCAGAAACATCTTATCGAATTACTGATGTGGAATGCATCGTACGTGCAAAAACACTTCAGTTAAACCTGACAGGAAATAGTGAATGATCAGGCGTGAGAAACAGTGGGGAGGAATTCTTTCTACGTCCTTGCTAGATGTAACTGTTCCATCTGACGAAGTCAGCAGTAATTCAGATTGCGAAAACCGTACAGGCACAAATCAAATTTGGTTTGAAGGCCGGTTTTGAAATTCGACATGCCGGTGCTTGGCTTAGCCGGTCGCCATAGACAGTGAAAACTTGGAGCAGGTACGCAGAGCTGATCAGGCTCTGTATCCCATACAATCAGGTAGCTTCGTTGGACGTGGTCCCTGATTGTATGCCACGTCCCCCTGCGTGAAATTGAAAACAGAAAATCATGAACCTTCAAAACAAACAAAAGTGCACCGAAGTACCGGATAGAAGTTTTACATCTATTCAGATGGTCCACACACACACACGGGTGTAATCATTTTCAGTCCTCACTCATCACACCATCAATGCTTCACAGCAAGGGTTGCTTGGCTGCAGCATTCCGGCACAAGACCGTTTGACTTTCAGAGTCACTTCAGCTGCAGTGACCATGGACCTGGGACAGAAGTTCAACCTGCTTGAGCATGTGATGTGGTTGGCCTGCTTGACAATGGAGGCAGCATGCACCTTCGACGATGTGGATGACAAGATCCAAGAGGTGGATGGCCTCTTGGGTAGATTGAATGTCACCCAAGACGAATTGGATGAGTGTCACCGGATTTTTTGCAAGGTGATGAACCGTGCGCACGATGTGAAGAATGAACTCTGGCAGGAGTTGCTGGCTCTTGCTCAGCCGACACCTCCAGCAACTTACACGGGTGGATTGGTTGTCCCTGGGAACTCGCCGGAGGCTGGGTCAACTGAGCTTGCTGGTTCGCCGGAGCAGCTGCCTGCAAGTGGTGCAGTCGGTTCTCAAGGTCCCAGACCATGGCGCTGCTTCTGAGCAGGCGTGACATTTCTGAGAGGGTTTACGCTTGTAAATATCTAGGATCGAGGCACAGAAGCTATACAAGGCGTGCACTGGTGCAAAAGCTGAGATTTGGGTGGGTAGGAGCCAGTCAACACGGGTGTGAGGCTCAGGTTTCATTTCATGAACGACAGCTACCATATCAATTTTACAATGATGGCATTTGGCCCGTTCAATGAAAAGCCTCACATGTGTTGTTGTGCCAAGTAGGACTGTAAGCTTGCTCTACACATGAGGTGTCCCACAAAATTTTGTTCAACGGATCATTGAATTTTGGCTGCGCGTTTTTCTATTTGGATTGGGCGCAGGGCAGTTGACTGTTCCACAAACACCTTGGAAGCAGTTGGCGAAAAAGCAGCCGCATCAATGCTCAGGTTTTCAGCGTCACCTGGTGCTGTATACAGGTCATCCATATTAACAATTGACAATGCAATTGATAGTCACCCCACGTGTATTCTTTAACATGTTTGATATCCCAATTTCTGTTTTGTCCAGCTTCCAAATTTAAATTAATACGGTTAAATTATCCCCCACGAACGTCATGATAATTTTGAGGTAAAATTAGTGAGGCTCTGTCAAGGGCAACCAGGCTACAAAAAAACGCATTTTTAAGTACCTATTCTCGAAGTGCCCGCGGGTATATTGAGAGCCTATGGGCTGAATGCTTACGGGCATGGCGAAAAGCCTGCGGGCTTCAAGTGCCTACTAGCCTACGGGCTCAGTGCCTATGGCACCCAGAGCCTGCGGGCTCAGTGCCTATGGGCACCAAGAGCCTACGCGCTCAAAGTGCCCACGGGCACCCAGAGCCTAGGGGCTCAGTGCCTACGGGCACCGAGAGCCTACGGGCTCAAAGTGCCCACGGGCACCCAGAGCCTAGGGGCTCAGTGCCTACGGGCACCAAGAGCCTACGGGCTCAAAGTGCCTCCGGGCACCAAGAGCCTATGAGCTCAAAGCGCTTGCGGGTGCGTTTTAAATCCTACGGGCACGCCGCAATTCACACCACGGCCGCAGCTGTGGATGAAGATGGTTCTGTTATATAATCATTGTTAATTATTACTAACTGTCTAGGAAAATCAATACTGTGGTTGACCTGGAGCTTGCTTTTTTTTTTAAGATTTTGGCATGTCGGGGAAGTCGCAAAAGCCGAACCTTTTACACTGGAGATTGGTTCAAGACCATCACCGGTCGTGCAAACTAAAAAAAGGTTCTTGCGGCCTGTGCCGCTGGCATGGCTTGAAGAAGGGATTGAACATGAACTGGGTGCATGTTTGTGTGAAAAACAAACGTGCTTACGTTGGTTGCGCCAAGCGCGCTGCAAGAGGTTCATGGCCCATGGGCCTCGTTCAAGCAGAAACCGCTTGCAATGAGACTCCATCACTTCAAACGGCACGAAATGTCCAAGGCTCACAAAATGGCATGTGAGCCGCAAGGCACGGCCGATTCAGCCATTCTTGCACCTTCGAAGGAAATTTTCCAAGAGGCATTCAAGAGAATGCGCTCAGGTGGGAGTGCCAGAGATGGAGGAATTGCCTCGGACAAGAAACAGCAAGTCCGCTGGTGTTTAGCTGAAGCCGCATTGGACATTGGCCGGGAGGTCTTGCAGCATGCACGTTGCATTGCAATTACTCGCGGCAAACGAAAGGGGAGACTTTTAGTTCGTTGGCGAGCATGCCGTGACGACTTGTCTTCGGCCTCCGGAGTCTTTGGCCTTGCAAGTGCAGAGGGCTTTGCAGACAATCTGCAGATCGGGTCAGAAAGATGATCCAGGACTATTGCCGTCCCAGGCTTGCTGTGCCGAGAGGTTTCTTGAACACGGCCTCCAAAGACCTGCAGAAGCAGGTGGAGCAAAATATCCGGAACAAGACAATGGTACTGGTGACCGATGGGGCAGCTCCAGAACTCCTGGCATCTGCTTTAGTTTCGGGAAGAAGGCCTTTTGCTCGCAGCTCTGCTTGTGAAGAATATCTGCACGGCGTCAAAGTCATTGGCAGAGATGCCCCACATGCCACGACGAGGCTCTTGAAGCGCCGTTCCGCGCGAGTCAAGAGCTGAGCAAGCTGATGGAAGAATACATCAGCGGCAAAGGTTCCTTTTGCCAAAGGTATTTCATTCTCCACTATACAATACTTGGTGGCAGGAGATGGTGAGGACGACCAGGGGGGCCTACAAGCATCGCAGCTGCAAAACATCGCTTTGCTTCTTTTTCCTTGCCCCTGGGCCAGGTCACGGACAATTTGGCAACAGTGCTGAAGCTTTGCAGCAAAATTTCTTTGATTCGCGGCTCTTCTGGAGAGTGGGCAACAAAACTATTGCAAACCTTTTCCGGAAAGAAGGCCGTGTTGCTGGCTATGGCCTGTGACGCAGCTGCTACGTGCAGTGAATTTACTCGGGCCCTCGACAATGAAGAAGCTGGTGTTGCTCAGCTCAATGAACGGTGTGGACACTTTGCCTTGTCTGTTCAAGCACTTTTAGTCTCCGAGAAGATTTGGAACTTGCCCACATATACCAAGTTTTGGTCAATTCTCTCGAAAGGGATCCGGTTTGCCTTCTACACCAGGGATGTGCCAAAGAGATTCGAGTCACAGCAGAGGACAAACGCTTTGCAACCAAAGTCATGCAGGACAGCATGGCAATGTTCAGTAACTTTGTTTCTTTCTTAGCCTGAAAGTCCAACTGACTGATTTTGTTTGGGATAATGTTGTTGCTGCTGCTTCTGTTGTTTTTCTCATGTTTTGTCTGTTTTCTTGTTTCGTCTTCTTAGTCTTCTTCTCTTGAAACTGAAAAGCTTTTTGTGGTGGTGAGGTGATGTTAGGTTACTCCATATTTGTGTTTTGTCGCGCTCAGATATCTTCATTTGAATGCGACTTGCTGGCTTCAAGCCAGTGGGCCTGCTGCGCAGGAATGGGTGGCGACAACTTTGACAACCTTGGAAGCTGAGTTTCCTGCGTAGCATCTGTTGAGTTGCTTCGACATCTTCCATTTGTCTGGCACCAGTGCATCGAGAAAAAAAAGGGGGCCAGAAACTGAAGAGTCTTTAGCAACATTGGCAAAAGCTTTCGGGCTGGATGCCAAAGAGTTGTCCCAGCAGTATGTCTCCACAATGCATACTGCCTTGGCTTTGCAGAAGAAAGGCGGCTTGGAGAACCGAGCTGCGTGGGTGGAAGCTTTGAAGCATTTCGAGGGGCGAGCGGCAATGCGTAAGAAATACCCTACTGACGCTTTGAAGGAGGCCGGCCACTGGAAATTTACTATCGCTTACAAGCAAAACAAATGGTAAATGTTAGCCCCTTCGCGCATTTCTCATCATCATCACGTTTCAAACTTTTAGGGTCGTGTGCACCAGGTCATATCGGCTTACATTGCTTGGACAACTTCAAGCTCTGGCTGCGAGCAAATGTTTGCTCAGCTGAAGCCGGCAAGGAGAAGCCTACTTCCAAGCAAGCTTGGATCCGCAAGAGAAAGGCAGCCGTGGACCAGGCTGCTCAAGAGGAGGAGCTATGCACTCCTCCGAAACGTCCCAGTCTTGAACTTCCAGAGAGCTTGGCAAAGGAGCAGAGTAAGCAAAGAGCTTTGCAGATGAAACGGAAAGCTGAAGCATATTTGGAAGGCACTCTTGTCGCAAAGGAAGCGACGCAAGAAGTCAAAGACGCAGCTGAAATGAAACAGAAGATAGATGGTGGCAACGACAGGGATCGTGCCCGCAAGTTTGCAGATGCGTCGGCGAAACTGGCCGTAAGGCAAAACAAACAGGATGTCACTTGGGCAAGGAAAAAGCTTCCACAGCCAGCCACACTGTTAGATGTGGCGCCAGGGATGGTCTTGGCAACGAAGCAAAAACTCAAGCAAGCGGGGGTGGCAACCTTTGTTCAGGACCGCAATTAAATTTGTCTTCGCATTTTTGTGCATTTTTGGTGGTCAGGATGATTCACTCATTAATTGCCTGCATTCAATTCTGTTCAGGATCTGCGGCCGGCTAAGTACCTTGGGCGCACCCAGCGGGTCTTCGCAGCTGTCATGGGTTGCGTGCTGCTGTCTGCGTCAATCTTGAATGGACAAAGCGGAGTCTAATTGAGTTACCAACCTGGCGTGGACTCCACAGTTCGTGTCTTTGTGACAGACATGTTTAAGCAAGAAGCACCAAGCTTGACGCTGGTTGTGCGGGAGGCATGCCAACTTGGGAAAGGCTGGAAGGCCGTGAGCCAAGCCGAAGCAGCCCGAAAAGATGGTTGGAAATGGGGATTAGTTTTGCGAGGCCGGAATGAGGCCGCGCCACCTCCAAGCCGTTGTAAAAAGTTACTTTGGCTGACCGGAGATGAGTTTTGTTGCATGGGCAACACGGGTGTTTGTGCTCGAGAAAAGAGAGCGCTTGGGTCAAAGGACCTTGAGAAGTGCATTCGTGCCAGGGTCCAAGGAAAAAGGAGCTGACGCTGTGGTTCCTATATTGTTTCATTGGATGCATGCGGGCTGATGAATGTTACTTTGATGTCATGAACTGCTATTTGATACTGTTACATATATATGATTGATGCCGCGTTGGTTCAACCAAAAAAGGATGTCACACTGCTCTTACTTGCTTAGTCCGATGATGAAATGCCTCTTTTGTCAACAACCAGTCCATAAGAAACCTGCCCGTGTTTTGCAGAAACCTGCAGTGGTTGGCGAAATCAATATTTTAGCGAAGGACTGGAAAACACGACTGGGTGTTTGGCCTTGCAAGAACAGGTCTCAAATCATTACCTTGGCATCTGACTGTTCCGGCTATGGTTCGGAGCTTTTGGCCCTCGTCTTCTTGGGCTCCAAGCCCGAGTGAAACCAGTAATGATCTCCGAAAAAAGTCAATCAAAATTGGCATTGCACAAAAAGATGACTGAGCTGTGCGGCTTCAACGACAGCCAGTGCAAGGTGTATCCAGACATCTTTAAGCAGAACAACAGAGAACTTGGATCAGTTGGGTCAGTTGGGTCAGAAGACACCAACACCCAAATCCAAAACCAATTGCTCTTTTCACTCGAATCTCAGGAGGCGCGACGCAGCCTAGCTGAGAAAATGGCACACTGATATCTGGATTGAATCCAACCACAACACAATCAAACTCAAATCTCTTAGGGACAAGCTCGGAAAATTAAGTGACTGACGGATGTTCGAGACAAATGGTCTCTTTGGAACTTATCGGATTCTTTCAAACAAAACTGGCACAATCCAAATGAAAGTTCGGTACCTGACGTGGTGATACACCTTGAGATCCGCAAGCAAAGTGCCGATATTAGGATCCAAGGGTTCCGAATCAAAACAAATTGACGTGCCTAACGAGTGAATCAAGAAAAGACGCTGAAAGTCCAAGGTCTCGGCTGGCAAAATGCTTCAAGCAAATCGGATGAAACTAGACGAATGCAAATTGAGAGGAAACCTTTGAATCAAACCACTTCCAATCTGACAAGGAGTCCTGGCCAACCCCAAGAAGTAGAGGCGCACTTGCAGCCTAACCACAAATCAAGAAACCGTAAGCTACTCTACCTGCCACGAATGAAAATGATGGACACTGATGAAACTGATCACTGGCTCAAAAACCCTTCGACAAATTCCAGATGATCTCCGATGTTCCAACCTGTACGACCAGACCAGTGCTCCCTTCGGTGACTCTTGATGTTCAAAGGAATGCCACCGACCCTCTTGATCTCAGAGCAAACTTGCAAATTGTCATCAAGCAAAACTGATCGTGCGATGTTCCTTTCACCCAAAAGAGCTTGTAAAACCGCTGCTTTGCCCCCGGCACCAGTCCTGGTTTCTGTTACCAAAACCAGGTCAACAGGCAAACGATTCACCCGAGTGGACCTGAGGAGGAACTCCAGATTCCTTTCGCTCTTCTCAATGTGGGACAAAATAATCACCTTGTCGAATTGTCCACAACTGTGAGCGGTCTGCTGATAAACGTCAACAATCGACTGAGGTAGTTCCGCTGTTTCCCAATCAGCCCGAAACGCCTTAAATCTGGATGCACGATAAGTACCAGTGAGTGACCTGATGCCAATCAAATGCCACAATTCTGCCTGACACCACCGGAATCGTCGAAAGCTGCTGCTCCACCAAGTTGCTGTGATCGTCAAACTTCCAGCACTTCACGCCCTGAAGATATGACGTGCCAATACACCTGGGATATGCAGACCCTTTCGACAACGAGCTCCCTTCAGCAGACTTCGACTTCGCAGAGCCCTTTGAAGATGATCCCTTTTCAGCAGACTTCGACTTTGCAGAGCCCTTTGAAGATGATGTCACAGCCGGTTGAACAAAAACTGAACCCTTAGAAGATGACGCCGCAGTAGACTTTGGAGTTGATGATCTCTTCGAAGAAGATGCTGCTTCAACCTTCGGAGCTGCTCTCAGAAGCGGATTCGCCCTAGAGATTGTGACCTGAGATGCTTTCGCAGGATGACCCGAAGAAACTGCACGAGACGGCCCGGCTGAGGATGAAGAACCTGCAACACCCTTCGGTCTTGGGACCAAGCGAGTGACTTCCGAAGTTGACTGAGAAAGAGGCCTTGATGGGTAAGTCAAAGGATCCTGTGTATACTCAGTTTGATCAAGCTCTTCGTCACTGCTCTCAGGCTCCCAAGTTGCGGGCGAGTACAGGGGACGCTGCTGCCCACCAGAATGAGCAACAGAAACGTCGTCCCACTGCACCCCCTGCTCCAGGTTGTAGTTGATCCAAGCCAACCGCTTCCTCCGAGCTGATCCACCACCTCTGATACCACGGCGAGGTGGGGTGCGAGAACGGTCACTCATGGGCGCGGGGTTTTAAAGGGACCCCAAACCCTGATGAAAAGATTCCCCCAAAAGTCAACAATCAAAGACCGATACGGCTGATAACCACTTGAATCGGCTAAAACCAGCCGAGTAAACAAAAGGGGGTTAACTAAACCAACAAGACGCGCCGACACAAGGCAGCGGCTGCGGCCTGTTTTCATCTTGAGCCAAACAAGTATCAACAACCCAATCAGGAGGTGTCTTTACAGTGAACAATATGGGTATGATTTAGACCATGTTTTTCAAGTTTAACGATTTGTTGATAGTATGTTATAAAGTGCCTCAGGCGCGCTACACTAGAAAATGGGCACACCCCACCCAGACTCATGCATATACAAGTTGCATGTGATTTCGATTGTATATATGTGTGGACAACTGAAAAGTATGCATAAAAATGTGAGCGATTCTGTGTGATTCACATCACTCACATCCAACCAAAATCCTGTACCGGCGTCGCCGCCCCCATCTGGGCCTGAACAGGGAGCGATCCAATTCGCCTCTGGGCATCCTTGAAAACCAGTCGATGAAACGAAGAAAAGCCATGTGGCGACGATGAAATTTTGATGGAGCAAAGGGGCCAGGGATGATGATTGTCCCTTACTAGTCCTGCAGCTAAGGAGCCCAGGTAGTCCCGAATACCATAGGTTAGTGTAGGATCCTACATGTTGCAATCATCGCAGAGCACTTTCTCCAAGTAGGTGACCCAATATCTTTTTTTTGAAGCCAGGGTTTGCAAACTTGAAAGACCATTGGTTGAGGTACCCCATGCTACTCCCATTCAGAAACCACCATAAGAAAATTACCCCCAACATCACTGGTTAGCACAACTCCCATACCCCAGGAGACCCCAGGACCTCACTCCGAGTTTCTTCTCGGGGCGGGGGCGGCCAGCGCCCACGTCGTCAGCTCGGCGATCACGGCGGCCAGCGCCCAGATCCAGCGCCATGGCATTGCGCTGAGACTTCACCTATGACCACTTAGGTTAACTCCTACGAAGTTTACGAAAGCAAAATCAAGGAAGGTGTCTTGACTTAATTTGCTGTAATTTGTTTTTGTGCTTTTCTGCGGTCATCATTTCGGGTCAATTCTGATCCTGTCCGCAAAATCGCCGGTGAAGAAAGAAATGCTATGGACAGAGGGCGCGAGTCAATCCGCACGGTCATTTCGGGTCTGTGAACCCCAGTTTTTCGTTTCATTTGGTTGTTATTGATTTTATACTCCGCATCGATCATCATGGAACTGTATTTTTGAAGATGCTTAGCAGTCTCGCTGAGCATCTTTAGTCTCCTCACATGGTCGTCTTGCATGGTCAGTGTAAGATGGGTGGCAGGCTTCAACAATGCTCTGTCACGGACGCCCCTCTATGACTTTCTTCTAAGAGAACATCCGAGCGAAAAGCAAGATCGAAAATCAGCGTTGGACTTGAGAGGGGGGACGAAAGGTAGGTGGGGGCATATCTCTCAACAACTTTTGCGCTCATCCTGCCTCAATATCGAACTTTCCCTTCCCCCTAGGTGCCTCTCAATTTCCTGCATCCATTTCGCTTCATACGTAGTTCCCCCAGTGGCCTCTCCACCACTTCTTGCGTTTTTGCTGTTGCAATATCCGAACTTCCCCGGCATCAACAACTTCTTGCATGCATCTTGTCTCAATATCTAAATTCCACCCACCCTGTGCCATAGTCAGCAATAAGAACCACAAGCAAGATAATGTTAGTCAGTTTGTTGGCCAACTATGTGAATTAGAGGGGCCAAGGTGCCTCAACCGATGGACGCTCGGTTGAGGCACTTTGCGTCTAGGGATAGGTCTTTAGGGATGTAACCTTCATGCGACTAAGTGCGTGAGGATGTCTGAAGCAAAAGCAACATCAAGAATTGCAGGAGACGAAACCGCCCTTGTTTCATGGGAACTATTAAAAACCTTGTGGCTCAGGGATAAGTGTCGCTGCGAAGGGACATACTGCTATTGTTTTCTTATCTGACATGAGCATTGTCCCTGAACTGTGAAGAACATCGAGTGGTCTCGAAAAGTATTCCAGTTGGAGCATGGAGCTCAGCTGTGTGTCTGTGATACGCGTAGAGCACCGAATTGCTTCTTATTGAGCAGAAAAAAATTGCCATGGCAACAGTATCAAAGTAGGCAGGTGCAAACAGCCGTTGCAATGGACTTTCTTCTGTCATGACTCTAGAACGCAACGTACATGGATTGGAATTGCATGTGTGCTGGGTGAAACAGCATGCACGTGCACTGAGGGGTATCAGAAGAGG